TTAACAATCTTAAATGTTGATTTATCTATATCTGTCACTAATTCTTAACCTAGAGGGCACCAGTCACTTCCAAGGGAGGCTTGGGATAAAAAAAACAGGAATTTCTCTTAATTCTATTTGTTGTTTTCTTAACCGGAGCATGGTGAAACAATTTCATGATAATGTGCTTAATTCATATTCAACGAAAAGAATGAGAATATATTTCACATTTTCTTTAAAATCTGGGAGGGAATTCTATTCATAGATGCAAGGGAAGACAGATTCCTAGAGAGGGATTTCAAATTTTCTTTAAAATCTGCAAGGGAATTCTATTCATAGATGCACGGGGCACGTGCAAGGAAAGACAAATTCCTAAAGAAGGGGTAATAGCAAAAAAGGTCAAGAACCCCTGACCTATATCACTCTCTCTCTAATACGAATCTAAAAATAAAAAAAAATAAATAATCAAATAAAAAAATGGCGATCGCACTCACCCTGTTGCCGACCTCCAACACCTTGTTCAACTCGACCGACATGCCGTGATGTTCAATGGCGAGGAAGATGGTGTTCAGGATGATGCACAGCATGATGAACAGGTCGAAGATGGCGTCATGAACAATCACGTGCATGACGTTCTGTACTTTGAGCCACGTGCGGTAGTTTGCGCAACACTCTCGGCATTTGTCACAGTTGCGGTCGACGAGCTCGTCTGGTTTTTTGGCGGGAAAGAGAAAAAAGTGAGTAGGCCTATTCTTCTGGTATCTTTTATAATGATTTTATGCATCAATCTACTAATCTATTTATTAATTCATTCAATCTATCTATCTATCTATCTATCTATCTATCTATCTATCTATCTATCTATCTATCTATCTATCTATCTATCTATCTATCTCTATTATCTATCTATCTATCTATCTATTATCTATCTACCTATCATCCTACCCATCTAACCTATCTAAACATTTATACATATACATACATAAACGTTGCATTCCCCCCCCCCCAAAAAAAAAAAAAAAAGTTCCACCCCCTCAAAAAGAAAAGAAAAAAAAAAAATCGTTCCTCTACCTTCGACGACGACGATGTGTTGCGATGACGCTGACAAGGCGGCTGGCGAGGACGGGCTGACGCCATTGCACTTTCGGCGGGCATAGAGGGTCGTCTCGGCTTTGCCCACGGGTTCCTGAGGGAGAGGGAAGAGAGAGGGGAGAGTGAGTGAGAGTGAATGAGGGGATGGAGAGAGAGTGAGGGAGAGGGAAGAGAGAGGGGAGAGGAGGAGAGTGAATGAGGGGATGGGGGAGAGAGAAGAGGGAGAGAGTGAGTGAGTGTGAGGGTGAGTGAGAGAGTGAGAGAGGGAGAAAGTGATATGCCGAGAGAGAAGAGAGAAGAGAGAGAGAGAGAGAGAGAGAGAGAGAGAGAGAGAGAGAGAGAGAGAGAGAGAGAGAGAGAGAGAAGAGAAGAGAGAGAGAGAGAGAAGAGAAAGAGAGAAAGAGAAAAAAAAAAGAAAGAAAAAGAGAAAAAAAGTAAAAGAGAAAAGAGAAAAAAAAATAAAGAAAAAAAAAAAAGAAAGAAAATAAAGAGAAAATGAAAGAAAATATAGAGAAAGGGCACATCAAGCTAAATAACCGACAATGAAAGAATGGACGAGCAAAACAAACACTAAGAAACATTCCCCGTTGTTAGCGGTCGAACGTTTCTTCATTAACCGGGGAATAAATGAAAAAAAAAAACGGTAATAAACAGCGAGACAAATTTATAAAGGAGTAATTGAGATATAAAAGCAAATTAAGAGAAACGAATGGCGTCGTTTCACTTCTTCCGAAAGACAATTGTGCTCCTCCCCCGCCCCCCCCCCCAAAAAAAAAATCTTGACGGCTTCGAAAAAAAAGTGGAGGGGGAGGAAACGTATGAGAAGGGAGAGGAGGAGGAGGAAGAGGCGGAGGAGGATGAGGACGGAGTAGGAGGAGGAGGAGGCGGAGGAGGAGGAGGAAGAGGCGAAGGAGAGGAGGAAGAGGAGAAGGAGGAGGAGTAGGAAGAGGAGGAGAAGGAAGGAGAAGAAGAGGAGGAGGAAGGAGAAGAAGAGGAGGAAGAGGAGCAGGAGTAGGAGGAAGATGAAGAAAAAGAAGACGAGGGGGGGGGGGGGAGGAGGAGTATGTAGAAGAAGAAGTCGAGGATGAGGAGTAAGAGGGGAAGGAGGAGGAGGAAGATCAAAAGTAAAAGAAAATGAGGAGGAGCTGGAGGAGGAGAAAGAGGATGAGGTGGAGGTAAATAGGAATAGGAGTAGGAGATGGGAGTACCGGAAGAAGCTGAATGTAACAGGAGGAGGAGGAAGAAGGAAGAAAAGAGGAGGAAAAGGAGGAGGAAATAATTTCACTGGAAGTCGAAACACGACTACAGAGTCAGTAACTGTAAAAATAAAAACGATAATACCAAAACACAATAACAAAACGGCGACATTTAGAGAAAAAAAAGTAAAAAAACAACAAAAAACAAACAAACAAACAACTACAACAACAAAAAAGCTTCGAAAAGAGACGCCATAAAAGACCAATTCTGCGGCAAGAAATCTCACCAAGGTCACGTGACATAAGGGAAAAGAAACACAAAAAAAAAGAAAATGAAAAAAAGAGAAAAAGAAAACAGAAAAGTCATTTACGGAGTTCTTTAAGGAGATTATATAAAGATAGGGGGGGGGGGGGGGAGGAGGCGAGGTTTGTACTTGAGTGGAGGGAAGTTGCAGTGAACCTCTCCTCCTTGGCACTTTCTTTGGCACTTTGGCTGGCACTGCGGAAATATGGGTGTTTACTTGTACTTTACAGGTGCCACGTGACTCCTTATTTAGTGTTATTTTCGGAGGGAACACTACTACAGGGATTCATTCAATTCTGGTCGCGGCTGTCTGTGGTAAAAAACAAAAACAAAAAGGAAAAAGCGAAACAAAAAAAAAAAAACAAAAAAAAAAACTGGCAATCTCCTCTAGTCAGTTCTGTCAACAAGGATCAGGGAATATTTTCTATGGCGGGTTGCGTGGATCTTTTAATCTCTCGATTTCTCTCTTTTTTCTATTTTCTTATTCTCTCTCTCTCTCCCTCCCTCTCTCATATATACACACATAGACATACACCCTCTCTCTGTCACTGGCTGTCTGTCAGTCTGTCTACCTGCCTGTCTGCCTGTCTATCTATCTGTCTGTCTCTCATTTACGCCTCACTTCACAAAGCCCATCATAAAGCGACCCTCCCGTCCTTCTACAAAGTTTTCCCTTTCCTTTTTTTCTTCCCGCCTTTCCTCGTGATGCGCCTTTGTCCTCTCTCCCTTTCTTTCTCTCTCTCTCTCGCTTTCTCTCTCTCTTCTCTCTCTCTCTCTGCTCTCTCTCTCTCTCTCTCTCTCTCTCTCTCTTCTCTCTTCTCTTTCTCTCTCTCTCTCTCTCGCTTTCTCTCTCTCTCTTTTGCTTTCTCTTCTCTCTCTCTCTCTCTGCTTTCTCTCTCTTCTCTCCTCTTTCTCTCTCTCTCTCTCTCTCTCTCTCTCTCTCTCTCTCCTCTCTCTCTCTCTCTCTCTCTCTCTCTCTCTCTCTCTCTCTCTCTCTCTACGCTTTACTGAACTTTCGTATCTCTCTATCAGCCCCTTTTGCCTCTCTCTTTCGTACACTTGTCATTTTCCTAATTTCTCTCTCGTGTGTAGGTGAAGGGGTCTGTGTGTGTGTGTGGGGGGGGGGGGGTGTTCTAACGGCCGTTCTCTCGTGACAAATAACATTTGACCTTCATTGAACCTTGAACTCCCAAAGGGCAAGGCAAAGGGGAAATGCAGCTCTATGTTTTTTTTTTTTTTTTTTTTTTTTTTTTTTTTTTTTTTTTTTGAGAGGGGAGGGTGGGAAGCGGTCTCACAAATGTACGAGAGAGAGAGAGAGAAGAAGAAGAAGGAGAAAAAGAAAGGAAGACAGAGAGAGAGAGAGAGAGAGAGAGAGAGAGAGAGAAGAGAGAGAGAGAGAGAGAGAGAGAGAGAGAGAGAGAGAGAGAGAGAGAGAGAGGAGAGAGAGAGAGAGAGAGAGAGAGAGAGAGAGAGAGAGAGAGAGAGAGAGAGAGAAGGAAAAGACAGGGAAAGAAAGGGAGGGTGTGTGAGACAGTAAAAGAAAATAAATCAAATAAGGCAAGAAAAAAAAAGCAAGAAGAAAAAAAATCCGACTCTCAGAGCTCAAAAATAAAGCCTTTATGAATAACGCCAAAACGTCTTCCTTTCGACCGGCGACGTCTAAAAGGAATCACTGACGGCAGGGGAAGTTCCTCATGCCCCCCCCCCCCCGCCCCCTTCTGTGCCGACCGCCTACGATTTCGGGCTGAAGTCGGCGCGTTTCGGATCCTTGTGTGGGCGGGGGGGGCGGGGGAAGAAGGAAAGGAGGGAGAGGGAAAAGCGGGAAGAAGGAAAGAGAGGAAGAGGGGAAGAGGGGAAGGAGAGGGAAAGAGGAGAGGGAGGAAGGAGGGAGAGGAGGAAGAAGGGAAGAGGGAGAGCGGGAGGAAGAAGGAAGAGGAGAGGAGGAAAGAAGGAAGAGGGAGAGGGAAAAGAAGGGAAAGAGGGAAGAGGGGGAAAGCAGGAAAGGAGAGAAAGGGGAAGGAGAAAGAAGAGGAAGAGGGGAAGGAGAAGGGAAGAGGAAGAGGGGGAAGAGAAGGGAAAAGAAAGAGGGGGGAGAATAAGGAAGAAGAGGAGAAGGAAGAGAAGAGGAGAAGGAGAAGAAGAGGAAGAAGGAAAGAGGAGGGGGGAGGAAGAACGAAGAGGAGAGGAGGGAAGAAGGAAGAGGAGAGGGAGGAAGAAGGAAAGAGGGAAGGGAGAAGAAGGGGAGGGAGCGGGAGAAGAAGGGAAAGAGAGGGAGAGCGGAAGAAAGGAGAAAACGGGGGAAGAAGAAGAGAAGGGGAAAGAGAGGAGGAGGATGGGAGAAGAAAAAAAAAAGAAGAAGAAAGGAGGAGGAGAGGAAAAGGGAAGAGAAATGTCCCTGTTCCCTTCTTGCTTTGGATCTTTTCGCCTCTCTTCCTCTGCTCTCTTTCTTTCATTCCCTTTCACCTCTGTTTTATTCAATAACAGCCCCCACCCCCAAATTTTCTCCTTTTCATTTTCTCTCGCTGTTTTAATTCTCAGTCTCTTCCTCTCCCTCTCCTTCCTTCCCTCCTGGTCTCTTTAATTTTCTCTAAACCCCTTTGGCGTTTTCTATTTATATATTTTTTCTTTCTTTCCCTTATTCTCTCCTGTGCTATCTGCCATTATCATTCCCTTTTCTTCTGTTCTTATCCCGTGGTTTTATCTCCCTATTTATTGACACTGCCTCTTCATTCTTATCATCTTCTCCCTTCCTATCCCTAGTATCTCCTCCCGTCTCTATCCTTCTCCCTTCTATCTCCCCCTATCACTCTTCCTCTCACCCACCGCGCTTCTCCCACTCCCCGAATTCCTCGTCTCTTACTCCAGACTCCCCCAACTCCCTTTCCTTCTCATTCCCCCTTCTCCCTTCTCACTTTCCTTCTCACCCCCCCCCATCGTCCCTTACTCCAGCTCCCCCCCCCCCCCCCACCTCCTTGGTGTCTTAAATGTCCAGCGGGCCATTCTTTCGACGCCCCCGGCCATCTCGCTCATACTCCCCTGCCGTTCTCCCTTTCCCCCTCCTCTCCCCCACTCTCCCTCTCCTCTCCTTCACCCCTCCATCTCCTCTCCCCTCATCTTTCCTTCCCTCTCCCCTCCTCCTGTCCTCTCTCCCCTCAACCCCTCCCCTCCTCTCCCCTCATCCTTCCTTCTCCTATCTCTTCAATCCCTCCCTCTCCTCTCCCCACCCTCCAGTCTCTCCTCTCCCTTCAACCCCTCCCTCTCATCTCCTCTCCCTCACTCCTGTCTCTCCTCTTCCTTCAACCCCCCCTCCCTCTCATCACCCTTATTCCCTCATCCTTTCCTTCCTTCCCTCCCTCTCCCCTCCCTTCACCCCTTCCTCTCCTCACCGTTCTCAGACAGAGAGGAAGAAGGTGTAGGTAGACAGACAGAGATAGTGAAAGAACCACTCCAAATATAAGAAAAGAAAAGAAAGGAAAAATATATACTGTACCATCAATCGAATAGTTTCCTGCGATATTAGCATTCCCCAATTTGCAATAAACAAAAGCGAGGTAGTTCCTCCATTTCCACGGCCCTCTTAAAAAGAAAAAGAAAAAGAAAAAGAAAAAAAAGGAAAATGAAAAGAGAAAGAAAACGAGAGAGAAAAAAGAGAAAGAGAAAGAAAAAATACGAAAAGAAAAAGAGATAAAGGAAAGCGAAGAGGAAAAGGAAAAGAAAGGGGAATAAAAGAAAAGAGAAAATAAAACATACACACACATCGTGCATGAGACAGTATTGCTCGTGAATGATTAATGATACATACCAGATCCCCCCCCCCCATCCCTCCCCACGTACACACCCAATTTCGTAAAAAAAAATATCCCAAGAGATTACAAATACGATCTGTCCCATTTTCTTTCATAAGATCACCAAAGAAAACGGGGAAAATACATTTTACCGGGCTCCTACCGGGATGATTTCCATGGCCGAAAACAAAAAACAAACACACAAGAAAAGAAAAGAAAAATATACCGGTTTATGCAATTACACATGCTGTATCGTAAACTTTGTAATACGGAGAGGTTCCAGGACTAACTTTGTACATGGTAACTTTCACAATATTTTGGTGGATGGAGGGGGGGAGGCTAACCATGATAGCGGAGAAAGGGAAGGAAGGGTTAGGGAATGCAAGGAGAGGAAGAAAAAGGAAGAAGATGTAGGGAAGAGGAATAATAATAAGGAAGGAGAAGAGGAGTTGAAGAAGAAGAAGAAGAAAAAGGAAGAAGAGGAAGACGACGAAAAATGAGTAGAGAGAGTGGGTTATGTCAGAGGATAATAACGGTGAGAGGGAGAGACGAGAGGGAGAGTAAAAGAACAGAAGCGAGAGGGAGAGTAAAAGGAACAGGAGCAGAAGTTACAAGGGAAGCAAATGAAAGAGCAGGAAGGAAAGACGTAATAAACAAGTGCCTTCCAATAACACAAAAGATCCGATCCGAGTTAGACTAAAAAAAGAGAAAAAAAGAGAAGAGAGAGAGAAAAAAAACCGAAGGACGGCCCAAGGAAGGATTTAGGAAGAGAAAGCCGAGGGATGGGGAGAGAGAGTAAGAGGGAAGGGAGGGCAGGGGGAAGAAAAGGAGAGGGGAGGGAAGGGAGGGGAAAGAAGAGGGGGGAGGGGGAGGGGAGAGGGAGAAGGGAAGGAGGGAAAAGAAGGAGAGGGGGAGAGAGGAGAGCACGGAAGGAAGGGGAGAAAGAGAAGAGAAGGGGAGGGAGGAGGGAGGAGGGCACGGAGGAAGGGAGAGAACGAGAAGGAGGGAGGGGGAAAGGAAGAGGAGAGGAGCGGAGGGGAGGCGGAAGGGAGACGAGGAGGAGAGAGAGTGGATGAAGGAGAGAGAGAGAGAGGAGAGAAGACGGGGAGGGGGAGAGGGGAGGGAGAGGGGAGAGGGACACTCCAGCCCAATCCAAATAAGAGCTTCTTAATTGAATAAGTCAGCTGTGAATGTGTGGATCTTCGACGTTGCTCGGAAGAACGTTGTCTGGCTCTCCGAATTAGATTAAGACACTTGGACTTTTAGATTTTTAGACTTTTTAGAATTTAGAATTTGACGTGAGAGGAGGCCTGTGCTCTCCCGAATTCGAATTTGACTTTGAGACTTTTTGACTTTTTAGAATCTAGAATTTGACGTAGAATACTTTTTTTTATGGATATGAACTTCGTGTCCTTAGATTTTAAATTTTGAATTTTGGGGGTGCGGAATTTGAACTTTTGATGTAGAATCGTATTTTTTTAAAACTTTGGAATTTAGAATTCGCCATTGAATTAGGCTACTGGAGTTTTTCTTTAGCAAAAATTTGTCAAAAAACTGAATCAGATTACCGCAGACTTTGAATCTTAAATACAAGAGTCTGACTTGGCATGTTGATACTGATGACAAAGGCAAAATTACTTCTTAAAAAACGGGGAGAGGGGAAGGGAGGTAGAGAATGGAGTAGATAAAGAGGAAGAAAGAGCTCATGATGAAGAAGAGAAGAGAAGAAAAGAAAAGAGAAGATGGAAAGAGAGGAAAATGAGAAGAAAATAGGTAGATAGATACAAAGATAGACGGAGAAAGGGAGAGGGGGAGATTGGATAGGGAAGAGGAGAGGGAGAGGGAGAGAGGAGGAGGGAGAGGAGGGAGAGGGAGAGGGAGGGAGAGGGAGAGAGAGAGGGAAGGAGAGAGGAGGGAGAGGGGAGAGGGAGAGGGAGAGAGGAGGGAGAGGAGAGAGAGAGAGAGGGAGAGAGAGGAGAGAGAGGGAGGGAGAGAGAGGAGAGGGAGGAGAAGAGAGAGGGAGAGAGAGAGAGGAGAGAGAGAGAGAGAGGAGAGAGAGGAGAGAGAGAGAGAGAGAGAGGAGAGAGAGAGAGAGAGAGAGAGAGAGAGAGAGAGAGAGAAGAGAGAGAGAGAGAGGGAGAGAGAGAGAGAGAGAGAGAGAGAGAGAGAGAGAGAGAGAGAGAGAGAGAGAGAGAGAGAAAGAGAGAGAGAGAGAGAGAGAGAGAGAGAGAGAGAGAGAGAGAGAGAGGACTTCCTCGCCAGACAAAAGTAAAAAATCTGAAGGCAATAACCACGGAAAGCCAAAGTTTCCTGAAGACAGGTGAATAAATATAGAAAAGAAAGAAAGAAAAAATATTGATGTTTCCCCTCCAATTCTCGTTTCTCTTGTTTCTCCCCCTCCTTTCTTTCCTTCCTTCCTCCTCCTTTCCTTCCTTCCTCCCCTCCTCTTCTTTCTTCCTTCCTCCTCTCCTAATTTTCCTTTCCTTCCTTCTCCTACTTTTTTCTATCATCTCTTCCTCCTCCCTGTTCTTCCTTCTATTTCCCCCTACTCATCCCTCTCGTTTCGATACTTGAAGATAGGCAAGAACATTTAAAAAATGATAAAGATAGGAAGAATGAGAATAAGGAAAATGAAAAAGATGATGATGAAGAAGATGAAGAAGAAGAAGTAGAAGAAGAAAATGAAGAATAAGGAAGAGGAGAAGAAGAAACAAAAGAAAAGAAAGAAAAAAAAGAAAGAAATCCAGAGAGAGAACGACGAAGTAAAAAAACAAACACACCCACACTCTTAATTCATTAATAATAAAGGAAGAAATACAGACGAACGCAATAAACAGAGCAATTAAAAGGCCCAAAGACTGCACCGAAACGGGAACCAGAAGCGGCCCTTCCCCCCCTCCTTCCCCCCAACTTCCCTCTCGTAAATCATCCTCCACTGCCCCTCTCCCCTCCCCCCTCTCTCTCTCCTTCCCCTCTGAATTTCTCTTTCCTCTTCTCCCCCTCCCCCAATTTTGTCTTCGGGAATCTTGTAAGAGAGGGGAGGGAGGAAGGGGACTGGGAGAGAAGGGGGGGAGGAGGGGATAGGAAGAGGGAAGAAGGGATGGGAGGGGTGGGATGGGAGGAGGGAGGGAGGGAGGAGAGAGGAGGTGAGAGAGGGAGAGAGAGGGAGAGAGGAGGGAGAGAGGAGAGAGGGAGAGAGGGAGAGAGAGAAAGAGAGAAGAAAGTGTGTCAGACAGAGACAGAGACAGACAGCGAGTCATCGAGACAGAGACACAAAGACAGAGACAGACAAACAATGGCGGATAGATAAATAAGCAGATAGAGAAGCTTATCAAAAACAAAGAGAGAGAGAGCTTCCTGCAAGACTCGCTCTCTACTCTCACTACTCACACTCTCTCCAGCTGTCCATTACCTCCACGGGAGAGGCGACAGGGATACGAGCATATAAACTTTTTTGCTTGCTTGCTTGCTTGCGAGGGTGGGAAGAGGAAGAGGGACGAGTTTTTGTCTATGAGTTTGTTTTTTTACTTATTCTAAAAAGGGAGACTGATGAGTTTCTGACTATGATTTTTTAAAAAGAAAAGTAGTAGAGGATGAGAAACGCGTATTAGGTATGGTCTATATGTTTTAGAGGGCTGAAGAAT